AATCCTGGCATATACTTCTAACCTGATTTCTCAGTTTTACATGAGTATCTGAAGCCTCTCTTCTGAAATAACATTTTTATGAAAAATGGAATATTACAAAATAGAGCGAATATTTAAAAATACACAGCATTTGTCTTATTCTTAAAATGTTGGCAGTTTTTCTATTTAATGTGATTATAATGGTACAATCATTCTGGTCCTCATCTGTTTTAATTATTTAGTTGAAATGAGGTACACTTTGTTAATGGTTCTAATCTATTGCATTCCATATGACATTAAACCTGTTCATATTTTCTTAGAATCCTAATGTGGTTTGTGTTGCGTCTTTTTCATTATTAAAGTTTCTGTTAGGTCAAGTCTTGGTTCATTAAATTTTATTTTTGTACATTCTTTGTTAAAATGAACTTGGAAGGCAAAGACCAGCTGATTTTTACCCTCTGACTCACACCTGCCTCAGCTGGATTTTTGCACTTTCCTCCATGGAAAGCCAGCTTTCCAAAACCTTTACAACAGAAAGCCTTCACCTGCAAAGGATGAGCTACTTTATCTGCTGATGACCTTCCCAAATTAACTGTGATCTAGACACTAGTGAAAGCAATAGAGCTGGCTGTCTTCTCAGGAGTCCTGCAACCCTGGCTTTATTAGGTACAATTCTGATAATTAAAAATCCATGTTAAAAATTAAGTCTAGTAAAAGGCAAAATTAAATGCTCTATTACATTTCTTATCACTGAACAACTTGAAAGAAAAATGTCTCACAGGATTGGCATTTCAATAAATTCCTTTAAATGATGCGATGGTCTTTTCTTAAAGTCACTCTAAGAAACAAAATTATAACATATACTATATAAAAATTGTCATTGAGGAAAATGATTTGTATCTAATTTTAGTTATTACAAGAGTTGATGATTTTCTAAGCCATACTGTGAGTAAATTTGAATACTAAAAAGCATCATAAAACATTATTTCATAATATATGAACTATGTTCACATTTTGGAGCACTGTTTGCTTCTGAAAATGTATGAAGTGGCAGTTGTGATTTTTACTGTGTCCCATATATTTTGTACATCTGTATTTCACTGACTCTTGGTGCACATTTTTTTACACCTCTGAAATTTGGATGCATTTTATGATAAATGGCTTGTCATAATTTATTAACATTTTGCCTTTTAGTGGTATGTAAATGGTACAGCTGTGATGGTAACTTAGATATGAACAGAACATAGGCTAACACGGAAGAGGGTATTATAAGAAAATTTTTTTTTATTAAAATGGAAGATGTTCTGTGGATGACCTACCCTTTTGGATATGACTCCCTCACTTCTAATCCCAAACTTGATCAACTAACTCTTTAAAATATACTTAAGGTGCAATTTTTAATTTGCATGGAATATTGATATTTTTGTATGTGTGTGGCCACAGTATGTTATAGGCTACTCAAGTGCTTCTTAATATCCAGTTTTCATTCATCCTTTTCCATCCATGGGAGTCACACTGAATTACTTTAACCCAGAAGTTAATATCAAAGAAGTTCTGAGGCATAAGCAGTATCAATGAACTCTGCCATCTTTTGGAGGTATAAGGGCACAACAGTTTAATACAACCACCAATCTTCACAAAATAACTTTAATACTTTGTGCCAAGGCTAGCAGCATTTTGCACTGTGACATTCCTATACACATGTAAGCACTTTATCCAAATACAAGTATTTGTTAAAAGCAGAGTAAATTAAGCAGTCGCCTATACAAAGATGAATAGAAACTAGGTTATTTTTCTTGAATCATTTTTGCTGCATAGTAAATTGCAATTACATGTCAGTATAATGTTACTGATCTATAGAATACACTTTGAACTGTGAGGTATGACAACTCCCTGTCAAAGGGAGTAACATGTAAACCTGAATATTTTGAGTGATTTTTTTTTTAGCTGCCATGGATGAGTAAGACAAAAAAAAATCCAGCATTCAAGGACCCTCAAAACTTCTTCTAATTTAAAAAAAAACCTTTGAATAATTCTTAGGTTATTTCCTATCATTTCCTTATCGGAGCACTGTTGAATACACAAAGTATATATTGAAATGAAGCTAAATTTGTTGTAGAATTATGAATTAAATGACTTAAAAAAAAATCCGCCAGGTAACTGCTCATTTACTTTACATCAAGTTGAGATCCTGATATATACATCCCAACTTTATAATTCAAGATTGCAGTTAAATATTTCTAATTCACTTGAATTACCATGGTAATTAGACAATTAGAAATCTTATATTTTCTTAAAAAGACATGCTTAACATTTTCTGACATTACATCTAAACTCAGATGAAGCACAAAATCTCCCCAAAACTAATATTCTGCTCTAAAAGTTAAGTGGCTGAGAGTTGGTAGCAAATGCTATCACGGTTTATCATTTCCACCATAGAGTAGATACCAATAAACAGAAGTATCTGCTGTTTAAACATCTAGTAAGAAATTAGCATGAACCAATGAAATCAGAAGGTAAGATTACTGCCATTAGAATTAGAATATTTTCAAGGTATTCATACTTTGAAAATAGTAATGCAGTTTTCCCATGTTTTGATACAATTTCACTTTAAACTGTGCCCAGATTACACACATTATTCAAATACCCTAGAAGATAAACCATGATTGGTTAAATTTATCTTAGTTAACTATCACAAAACATTAGTGGAAATAAAGAGATTACAGAAACAGAATCAAACAGAAGAATAGGAAGAGCTACTAGAAGAAGCACTAGTGAAAGTATGGATCCAAGAAGAAACAAACTTACAATGTTTTATATGAAACAAAGAATAAACCCTATGTAAAGCCCACATTAATACTGAAATCAAGATGACACCAGTTCCTTTCTCTAGTGTTTGTGAGAGTCTGTCTTTAATATACAGTGCTGGGCAGGCACTTAAGTGACAGCATAAAAATTATAGCAGATAGAAAAAGTGGAAAATTACCAGCTATAAATGAGTATCAATAACCAAAATCTGTACTTTTAGTCAGACTACCAGAGAGGATATGTGTATTTAAGAAACTAAAAAAAACTTAACTGCCTCAGTTTTAAAACCTAAATTTACTATTAGGAAGTATTCTTTTAAGCAATAGTTCTGCACAATGAAATGTCACAGATTATTAGCTTGTAAAACAGATCTTTGCTAACCCATCCAATAGTGACCTATATTCTGGAAAGCTGTGTTATCTGGCACTTTACCAACTGGTAATTCTGAACAGCAGATGCAAACCTTGACCTCACTAGACCACTACCATCAGATGACTTAATTACACAAGAGAATACTGGACCACAAAGGGATTAACAATACGCTGTTTTTAGGGCAGTATGTACCACAGAAATGAACTCTTAATTTAAAAAAATAACAAAGCTTTTAATTCATTTTCACTCTCCCACTCTGCTGGATAAAAAAAGCTTTTTCTGTATTACTACATCATAGGGAGGAAAGCAAAGCAAGTAACTTGGTGTTAACAGGTTACCTTGCATAGTACCTCTTGGTACCAAGAGAATGTATGGAAATCATTCCCATTAGTAAAGCACCTCAAGAGAGGACTGAGAAAAGTGAGATACAGAGTTTTGTTTGTGCTACCCTAAAGTCAGAGACTACAAAAAGTTAAAAACACTCCTCTCCTCCCTCACATCACATACTTAAATAGAAACAATGTTTCTCTTAGAACACTTTTTATACATATAAATAAAAATATGGAGAAGCAAGGATCCATAAAGTGACTTTGCTAATGCAAATTATGGGGGACATTTGGATTAACTTAAAGAAGTGATTATAAAGCTAATTTAAAACACCCTAATGTCTCCCACAAATCACTATTCCCAATCTTTAAAGAAAAGCTTTTGTCTGAGCAACCTCAGAATCATTAAGACAACATAAAATGAACAGAAATAAATGTTCCATATTCCAAACAATTTACTGAAGTTTTCAAGCCTCATACTTTGAATTTAAACTAATTAATGGTTTATAAAAGAAATTACAGAAGAACATTTAAAAACTTTTCACTATTCTACGTATTAATTTGGAGGTCATAAGTAGTTATCTTTTTTTAATAATGCAAGGCACTTTTCTGGGCTTCTTTTAAGGAAAAAAAAACTAACGATAGTGCTCCATTGGTATATTTCTATTTAGAACCATTTGGACAACAACAACAAAAAAAAACCAGACTAGGTGACTCTGAAAACAGATACAAGACTTGGCATTTACAAGGAAAAAAAAAACAAAGTCACCTGAAACTTAACACTATCCTTTTTTTGGGGAGGGGGGAGCATCTGTTACTATCAAGTAAAATATTTTCCTTTGTTCATTAAGCTTTGTATGTGTGTTCTTAATAAACAAATTAGTAAAGTAATAGAACAGGAAGCAATAACTGCATTTCATTAAAGTAAGTTAGCTAATGTCATGATTTAAGACTGAATAAAGGATCAAGAAAAAAAAATAAAAGGGTAATTAAGGTATTGAGTGATACTAAAGAAATGTTGCAGATTCCTGCATTTTAATGTTTCTATAAGAAGCTCCCTCATAAAATTGAACTGTAAAATTATTTTTAAAATGTTATAGAACACAAAATGAATTTTAACAAACTTCAGTAAATTCTTGTTATAAATAACCCAAATTTTAGAAACAAATCCCCCCTAACTTGCATTTTGTTTAAAGTAATAACTATATCATACAAATAAATTTCAAGTATGAAAAGTGCATTATTGCAATAATACCTCTTTTAAGTCCAAAATTCTTGGTTTATAATAGGATTGTAAATTTAAAACAAACAAACAATAAAGGACTAAAACCATCAGTGCCATCTATTGCAGAAGTCCAAAATCTTCTCAAAATGTTGCTCAACAAGTTACATGTTTGGAAGCAACATATAATTGAAAAGAAACTATTTATGTTTTTATCATTTCACATTATTATTGTCTCTAGTATTTTCTCCTTCTCAAATAGAAATTCACATCCTCTGTAACTTTTTCTTGAGTCAACCATTCTGTGCAGTTGCCACTTGCATGTTTCCAAACTCCTCTTCTTCTTCATGAGTTCTCTTCAAACTGCCTACAGAACATAAAATGGAATAGCTAGTAAATTTTTCTTCATGAAGTGTTATTATGTATAAACTTTAAATTTTTTTTAGCAAAAGAATAAATCTTTTGTTACAAATTTCTGAAATCTTCATGTCAGGGTACATTTTTATTCCCAAGAATTAAGTATTACAAATGTTGTTAGGTGACAGCTAGTTGATTCTGACTCACAGAAACTACACTGGCAGAGTAGAATTATCCCATCGTTTTCCAGGTTGTAATCTTTTGGGAACAGATTACACCTTCTTTCTCCCATGGAACTTCTGGGTGGGTCGAAACCACCCTTTCAGTTAGTAATTGAGCACTTAACCACTATACCATTAGGGCTCAAGTATTGCATATAATAAACATTAATTTTTTAAATACTTTGAAACTAGAATTTTCAGAGATAGCAACACATAAATGTTTGGTTACCAAGTTTATGCTTTCTATCCCTTGAACATATAACCCAGGACATAAAATTTAAGCTATTAATTTTATATCTGTACAATTTTATTTTGTAGATATGATTATCTTTTGTTTTCACATATGCTCCTATCCCAAGCAACCAAAAATATTTTTCCAATTAATGCTATGGCTTTCATTACCAACAAGAGTAAGGGTTGGGAGAAAGGAAGCCATGCAGCAGATAAGGAAGAGGTTTTCTTTTATCTACTCTTCAAATCAGAGTTAGTACAGAAATTTCTCACTTAGAATCAAAGCTATCCTTATATGCCCAATAGTTTTAATGAAGAAATGTGAATCTCAATGGAGGTAAACAGGAAACTGATAGAGTCTGCTGTTACTTGTCTTACTACAGTATGAGCCATAAACTTTTGTCTACAGGCTGTGCTAATTCAGTCATAATATAGAGGGCAGATGCAAACATGAAGTTAATGTTTCACTGTAAGATTAATAAAATTATAAATAAGGTATTAACAGAATAAGGAAGAAGAACATATCCCGGCCATAGGGCTAGATACAGCTACTGAGTTCCAGATGAAGTAATGAGCTTTCTAGTAGTTAAGGGGGAAAAAAAAAAAAAAGAAGTAAATATAAATAAATAATATAAGGCAAAAAGTAGTGTAGTAGTTAAGTGCTCAGCTGCTAACCCAAAGGTCTGCAGTATGAATCTATCAGCTGTTCTGCAGGAGAAAGATACGGCAATCTGCTTCCGTAAAGATTACAGCCTTGGAAACTCTATGAGACATAGGCAGTTCTACTGTTTATAGAGTTGCTGTGAATTGAAATAGACTTGACAGCAATGGTTTTTTTTTTTTTTTTTGTATGACAGAAGTGATGAGGTACAGATAAAACTAGGAGAGTCTGAATGATTAGGGGTTGAGGGAAGAGAGTTAATCACAGTCTTCCTGAGAAGGTAACATTAGGACTAAGTTTTCAATAATAGGAAGACTGAATGTGACACATTCTAGGTGGATGACACACACAGGAAACCATCAGTAGTTCAGTTTTCTGGAGTCATATTTGAAGGGGAAAAATGAAAGCAACAAATAGAAAAATCATTAAAGGCCTTTAACTATAGCCTATGATACCCTAGATTTTATTCTGTAAGAATGAAGGTTTCTGAATAGGAAAAATATCATTATTAAAACAATCTTTCATGAAAATAAGTCTGGCCACAAAGAACAGAAGAACCAAATAACAAGAGGAGGCAGCCACTATCAGCTTGAATTGGATTTGAGATTAAGGGTACTGTAAGAAAGAGGGAATCATTTTAAAGATACTAAGGAAACAGATCCTACAAGATTTGGAAACTAATTATATAGCAGCAGAAAAGAAGTAAAGATTCAATGATAACTAGTCAACCATTTGCTAGTTGGCATCCTCAGGGATGAGCACACAGCTTTATCACTACAGGCAGTGCAGCACAGAATGAGTGCAGGACATGGAGGCAGATCATCTGTGCTCAATTTCCAGATCTAACACCAACTACACATGTAACCTGTTCTTACTACCTATTAAGGCTGTTGGTTCAAATAAAACTCAAATGAATTGTGAGGGATAAAAACAGTGAATGAGAGGGGTGCAAGAAGGAAAACTGCTAGATAGGTAAGAGACAAATACTGATTTGGGTGAAGGGAAAGGCAATATACCAAGAGTGAGTGACCAACACAGTAACACTAAGGAAAAGGAAGACACAGAGAGGTGCCCAAGAGTTACAGATAACAAAGATAAACACTTCTATATACATAACACTACATTATCAGTAATAACAAACATTAATCTATGGGTGGATACGTAGGTAAACAGGCTAAATGATCAGGTGTGTCTAGGCAAAAGGGAATATACTCGTGATATAAGTGCAGCAGATGATATTTCTACATATATATACATAATAGAGCTATATACATATACATAACAGAGCTAATGGGGCAAAGTTATGCTAACTTTTTGGCCACAGCCAAACACCCTGAGGGACTCAGTAACTGGACCCATGGGCTTGGAACCATGGTTGTAGGAACAGCAAGCTCAACTGGCATAACATATTACACAAAAACTTTGTTCTACATCTTACTTTGGTTAGTAGCAACTGGGATCTTAAAAGCTTGCAAGCGGCCATTTAGATCCAACAACTGGTCTTTCCTCATACAGAGCAAGAACAATGAGGAAAACCAAAGACACAGGGAAGCAATTAGTGCAAAGGACTAGTGGACCATGTGAACCTCAAACTACATGACATTGAGACCAGAAGAACTAGATGGTGCCCAGCTACTACTGTCAACCACTCAGAAAGGAATCAGTGTAGGGGATCCTGGATAGAGTGGGAGAAAAAATGTGGAACAAAACTCAAAATCATAAAAAGAAGACCAGACTTATTAGTCGGAAAGGAGCTCTGGTGGCATAGTGCCTAAAGCATTTGACTGCTAACCAGAAGACTGGAGGTTCAAACTCACCAGCATCTCCTTGGAAGGAGGATTGGACAATCTACTTCTGTAGTGATACTGCATCGGAAACCCAAGGAGGGGTCGCTGTGAGTCGGATCCAACTAGATGGCAGTGAGTTTGTTATTTTTTATACTAGTCTGATAAGAGCCTGGTGAAACGCTCCAGACTATTGCCCCTAGTTACTCTTTTTAAATTTTATCTGTTAAAACAAAAAACCCTGAACTCACTCCCATAACTTCCAGCTAAACAGACAGGCACATAAGGTGAACATTCACACCAAGCAGGTACACTCTTTAGAACAATCACCATGGGAGATCAGAATGACAGTATCTGCAGAGGGAGAGAGCTCAGAGGGAAGGAATGCATAGGAGAGAAGGATACAGGGAAAAGTTAATCATAGGGAGGAAGTGGGAAGAGAGCTGTTACATTATGGGATTGCAATCAATGGCATGAAACATAATGTGTATGACATGTTGCATGAAAAATGAATTTGCTCTGTAAACTTTCACCCAAATCATAATTAAAAAAAAAACCCCGACAATGAAAGGATCTAGTGTAAAAAACAAACTGTAAATAAATAAATGCCATGTGTACTCTAATGAAAACAAAACACAACCAGTGCCATCAAGTCAGACCTGGCTTATAGGGACCCCTCCTTAGGTTTCTGAGGCGGTATCACTACAGATACCTTCCTTCCAAGGAGTGGCTGGTGGGTTTGAACTGCCAACTTTCTGGTTAGCAGTCAAATGCCTTAGGCACTATGGTACCAGAGCTCCTATGTGTACTCTAGTAGAGTAAAAATATATGAATTGGATAATGGTGATGGCTGCACAACATGATGAACGTAATTGTCACTTAATTGTACATGTAGAAATGATAAATGTTTATTATACATACATATTTACCAATTTTTTTTTAAAGAAATAAACAAGGATAGTAAGGTCTTGAAGAAGGAAAAGGTATTTTGAGCACATGCTTAGATGGTTAACTTAAAAAGTAGGGAGGGCACTTCTGAAATTTGGATAGAGTAGAGAAAAGACTGAAATAATGATGGCAAAAGAAAAGCTGAGGTACTTCACATTAGTTACCCTACTTAACTTTGAAGCATGCTTTCATTTATTAACCACACTTTATTTTTAATAAAATCACCTTAATGTGTTAGAGCTTCTTCCCTAGACTCCTCTTATTGTATTTGCACATATAGTGTACACAGTGCACTGTGGTAGTTATGTTTGTGTGTCAACTTGGCTGGGCCTGGTTGAGTGGCTGGGCAGTTGGTGGTAGTTATTCCCCATGATGAGACTGGCATTCAACTCCATGGTGGGATCTACCACAAGCGGCTGAGGAGCTGCCTTTGGGATGTGGTCTGCTTCCTGTATATAAGGAGAAGTACTGGGAATGGTCTCTAGCCCATGGCACGCTTAGACCTGCATGTAGCCCTGTCGTTGCTTAGCAGCCTGCTATGCTCTGATGACCTTGGGACTTACAATGGACTTAAGTTAATGGCCTGCCGTGTGGTTTGGTAACATCAGGATTGTGCCTTTTTACTTGTCAACCTTGGGCTTCTCAGCGTCAGCAGCCAGCAGCTGTCTGAGTGAAGAAATGCCTCTAGCTCCGGTGGGCTGGGAGTAGGAGGCAGAGCTGGACCCCAAGGTTGAGGAGCTTTCACCCAGCCCCTAGAGCCTGGCACTTTGAACTTGAACTTAAAGCCTCCAAATTGTAAGAATAAACTCCTGTTTGTTAAGGCCATCCCATTTATGGTATATATTCTTGTCAGAGCGGCACTAGGCAACCTGAACACGCACATATGAAAATAATGCACGAAAGGGTTGAAAAATGCATTACTTTCATTAAAAATATGGCATTAATCTTTGCAAGACAGTTAAGTTACTTAACAGACTTTGACTAAACCAAGTAAAAATGCAGTCATCTTCTAACTAGTATATTCTATTTGCCTTGGTATACTGGTGTACACACAGCAGAATATCAATATAAAAGACATTTATTCATTATAAAAATCAAACCTCTTGAAATTATCTCGTTTTAATAGCTTATCCAAAGTTTTCTAAAACCAAACACATTGTTATAGAGTCAATTCCAACTCACAGCGACCCCCTTTGGGTTTCTGAGGCAGTAAATCTTTATAGAAGTAGATCACCCAGCTTTCCTTCTGGGGAGTGGCTGGTGGGTTTGAACTGCCAACCTTCTAGTTAGCAGTCCAATGCCTTAGGCACTATGCCACAGAGCTCCTTAAAGTTTTCTAAACAACTAATTTTCATTGTTCAATATAATGTGTAGTGAGCAAAAGAAGCACTCCACTGTTAATACCACCATCTTTCTCTCCCAACTTTCTCCAGAAAGAAAAAATCCTTACCTGTAGTACCAGAATGAACAGATAATGATCTTTCTATCTGCAGTGGTGACATCATCTGTATTGTTAATTTTGCTAAGTAGATGGCTTCATATTCCTAAAAAAGATTTTAGAATATGCATTTAAATTCATGGATACTCAAGAATGATTAATATGAACATTATTGGTATTCTTAATTTAGACCAAAAAATCTGTTGCTATACTGTTATAGAGAAATGCATGCTTCAAAGTCCTATCTCATTTAATTTCACAACTACTGATGACTATAAATCAAATCAGGCCAATAGCTTACACTAGAATCGTCAGTCAGAATGCATTATCCGTCACTGAGGAGACAGATGTATGATCTCTGACTTAATCTGTTAAAACAAAACAAAAAACCCTGAATCGACAATCTCATAAAATAGTTATAAACAATAAAATGAGATTAAGTTCAGTAAGAATAAAGTGCTATTAAAAAATACAAAAACAAACAAAAAAAACAACCCATTGTCATCAAGTTGATTCTGACTCTTAGTGACTATTATGGCTCTAAAATATTTAAAAAAATCAATCAGTGTAAGGTATTTATTGAATTCAAGTATATATATGTTTTTTAAAAGTCCTTAAAAAACAACAGTCCTTCATCAAGCTCAATTGGCATAACATACTACACAAATCATTGTTCCTTCTACTGTGGCTAGTAGCGACTGAGATCTTAAAAGCTTGCAAGGTGCCATCTAGATGCAATGATGGGTCTCTCCTCGTCCAAAGCCAAGAAGAATGAAGAAAACCAAAAATTCATGGAAATAATCAGTCCTAGCAACTGGTACACCATCCGATCTGCAGCCTATACGACTATGAGCCCAGAAGAAATAGACGGTGCTCGGCTACTAAGGTCAACCACTTGGAAGATCTTTGTAGGAGATCCGGGGGATCAATGTGGAACAAAACTCAAAATCATTTGGAAAAAAGAAAAAAAAAGCAGGTACCAGGTTTGCTGGTCCAATAGAGCCTGGTGGAACCACTGAGACTATGGCCCCTAGCTGCCCTTCAGGTCTGGAATTGAACACACACCTGTGGCTTCCAGCCAAGCAACAGACAGGCATACTAGTTGAGCATTTACCTGAGGTAGATACACTCCTTGGAGAGAACAAGCAAGAGAGAAAGAAGGGCTGCTCAGGCACAGGGAGACAGCTCAAGGGGTAGGAGTGCATGGAGGGATGGACACAGGGAAGAGGTGGCTATCAAGAGGAAGTGGGAGAGGAGAAGTTGCATTGTGCTAAATTGTGGTCAATGTCATGAGACAAATGTATGTGATCTGCTGTATGGAAAGTGTATTTGCTCTGTAAATTTTCACCCAAATCACAATAAAAAATAAAAATAAATAATAAAACAAAACAATAGTCCTTTACTTCCAGTTAGAAGATTAAGGCATTTCTGTCTCTTCTCTCCTTTCTGAAAACAAAAAATAGAAAACTCTTTATTTGAAGAAACTAGGAAATCTCCATAACCCCAAATATGAATAGGAGGAGAAAAATAAAGTGATTATTAAATAGATGTTTATTTACATTTACATAATTTTCTACATGTGTATTATATATTACAATAAAATATTTAGAATCAGAGTTAAGGTAGGTAGGTAACTCCACAGATACCAGACAGAGTGAGTACAGTTCAAAGTTATCCAAAGATGGTGGCAGACCTAAGGATAAAATCAATAAGCCCTTGTGTGGTATAAGAATACCATGAAGCATGAAATGGGTTGTGGGAAGAGGAAGGGCTTCTAAGACAACTGGGAAAATTCAATCTGTCTGCCTTCTACACCCATTCTCCTATCCGCTTTCCCATATCTCTTGAGCAAAGAGCTGATCAACAAAAATCCACTGCTGTCAAGTTGATTTTGAGTCATAGCAACCCTATAGGACAGAGCAGAACTGCCCCATAAACAAATTACAGCCTTGTAATTCTTTATGGAAGCAGACTGCCACATCTTTCTGCCATACAGCAGCTGGTGGGTTTGAACTGCCAATGAATCTTTCAGTTAACAGAGGAGCAATTTAACTACTGTGTCAGCAGGGCTCCTTGATCTAAGAATATCCTCAACTGAAAGAAGAAAAATAATGAAAAAGGAACCAGTATAGACCTTATGCCAAGTCCTGGTGGTGCACTGCTTAAGCGCTTGGATGCTAACCAAAAGTTCAATTGTTTGAATCTACAAGCTGCCCTGCAGGAGAAGGATGTGGCAGTCTGTTTCCAAAGAGTTTTTCAGCTGTAGAAACCCTATAGGCAGTTCTACTCTATCCTATAGGGTTACTATGCATCAGAATTGACTTAACAGCTATGGCTTTGAGTTTTATAGGCCTCATGCAAAGAAGCTATTAAAAAAAAAAAAAAAAAAAAGCAATGCAACATTATAACCAAAAAGTATATAAAAACACACCATTGCACCATCAAATATGTGAAAATTATAAATAAATAACTATGCAAGTTCAAGTTGAAGCTGAAGAAAATTAAAATAAGTTCACAAGAGCCAAAACAGGGCCTTGATTTTATCCCACCTGACGGTAGAGACCATCTGAAGAATAGAATTGATACACTGAACACTAGTGACCAAAGAACAGATGACTGGTGGGATTAACATCAAGAACATCATATGTGAAGCAAGCAAATGGTCATTTAAAAGACAGGAAAGGAAGAAAAAAACAAAATGGATGCCAGAAGAGACTCTGAAACTTGCTCTTGACCACAGAGTAACAGAAGGGAATGGAAAAAAATTGCTGAAATAACAGAACGGAACGGATTTCAAAGGGCAGATCAAGAATTATTATTATATTAATATTAAGTATTATAATGAGATGTGAGAAAACTTGGACTTGGAAAACCAAAAAGGAAGAACACGCTAGGCATTTCTCAAGCTGAAAGAACTGAAGAAAAAATTTAAACCTCAAGTTGCAATACTGAAGGATTCTATGGGGAAAATATTGAATGATACAGGAAACATCAAAAGAAGATGAAAGGAAGACACAGAGTATCAAAAAGAACTGGTTGACATCCAACTATTTCAGGAGGTAACATATGATACAGAACCAATGGTACTGAAGGAGGAAGTCTAGTCTGCACTGAAGGAATTGGCAAAAAACAAGGCTCCAGGAATTGATGGAATACCCACACAGATGTTTCAACAAATGGATGCAGCACTGGAGGCACTTACTTGTTTTATGCCAAGAAATTTGGAAGACAGCTACCTGGCCAACACACTGGAAGAGATAGGTATTTGTGCCTATTCCAAAGAGAGGTAATTCAACAGAATGTGGAAATTATCAGATAGTATCATTAATATCACACAAGTAAAATCTTGATGAAGATAATTAAAAAATGGTTACAGCAGTATATTGACAGGGAACTGCCGATAATGCAACTGGATTCAGAAGAGGACATGGAACAAAGGATATCAGATGGATCTTAGCTGAAAGCAAAGAATATCAGAAAGATGTCTACCTGTATTATTGACTTTGCAAAGGCATGTGACTTTGCGGATCATAACAAATCATGGATAACATTGCAAAGAATCAGAACTCCAGAACACTTCATTATTTTCATGAGTAACCTACCTGTACATAGACCAAGAGGCTGTCATTCAAATAGAACAAGGAGATACTGCAGAATGGGTGTGCATCAGGATTACATTCTTTCACCATACTTTTTCAATCTGTATGCTGAGCATATAATCCAAGAAGTTGGACTATATGAAGAACTCAGAGTCAGGATTGAAGAAAGACTCATTCACAACTTGCAATATGCAGATGACACAATCTTGCTTGCTGAAAGCAAATAGGACTTGAAACACTTACTGATAAAGACTAAAGACTACAGTCTGCAGTATGGATTACACCTCAACATAAAGAAAACAAAAATCCTCACAACTAGACCAATAAACATCATCATGATAAATGGAGAAAAGACGGAAGTTGTCTTGTACTTGTCACTGTACTTGCATCCATAGTCAACTCCCATGTACTGGGAAAATCTGCTGCAAAGGACCTCTTTAAAGTGTTAAAAAACAAAGATGTCACTTTGAAGGCTAAGGTGTATCTGACCCAAGCCATGGTATTTTCAATCACTTCATCTGCATGTGATAGCTACACAATGAATAGCGAAGACCAAAGAAGAATTGATGTCTCTGAATTATGGTGTTGGTGAAGAATACTGATAATATCAGGGACTGTCAGAAGAATGAATAAACTTGTCCTCGAAGAAGTGTAGCCGGAATGCTCCCTGGAAGAGAGAATAGCCAGACTCTGTCTCACCTAGTTTGGTCTTGGTGTCCATTCCCTGGAGAAAGATATCATGCTTGGTAAAGTAGAGGGTCAGCAAAGCAGGGGAAGACCTCAATGAGATGGACTGACACAGTGGCTACAATGACAAGCTCAAGCATAGCAAGGATTGTGAGGATGGCATAGGACCATGCAGTGTTTCAATCAGTTGTTCACAGGGTTGCTGTGAGTTGGAGCTGACTCAATGGCACCTAACAACAACATACTTATGTATAATTTCCTACGGAATAACAGCCCTCTCAGTCTTAGCATGACAAAAGCTGAGCACTTGATTTTACCCCCTTCAAACCTTCTCAGGCAGTTTCCCCATCAGTAAGAAACCTTCAGGCTAAAAGTTTATCTTATCTCTCTCAGAACCCACATCCAATCCATCAGCAACACGTTAGCTATTAAAACAAAAAAGCCAAACCCACTGCCACTGAGTATCTTCTGACTCACAGTGACCCTATAGGCCAGAGGAGAACTGTCTCACAGTGTGAGAGAGAGAAATCTATATGGAAGCAGACTGCCTCATCTTTCTCCCACAGAGCAGCTGGTGGGTTTCAACCACCAACCATTCAGTTAGCAGCTGAATGTGTTAATCATTATGCCACCGGAGTTCCTTATCTGTTAGCTATGTTGTTGTTGTTGTTAAGTGCCTTTGAATCATTTCCGACTCATAGAGACCCCATGCACAGCAGAATGAAACACTACCCGATCCCGCGCCAGCCCCACAATCCCTGCTATACTTGAGCCCATCATCGCAGCCACTGTGTCAATCCATCT